GAGGAAAGGGAAAGGGGGGGGGTGGGGTGGGAGGGGGGGAGAAGGGGGGAGAGAGGGAGAGAGAGGGGGGGGGGGGGAGAGAGAGAGAGAGAGAAAAAAAAGTTTATCGGTCATCTAAATTGCAATGCAAATTGCTGACTGTATTATGAATTTTGTTTAGATTTAACTCCAATTTTTGATGCCGACAGAATCAGGCCACGAAGGCAACCCTAAATGTGCCGATCAGATCAATATCTCCGTCAGTCGCACTGCAGTTACTGTGATGCACTCGTAATCTGGAGACCGGATTTAAAACCTCACCAGCCACTGCAAAATTTAAATGCCATTAATTAAATACATCTGCAATAAACAAAAATATTAATATCAGTAACAACTGTGAATCTATAGGATTGTTGTTAGAAAAAAAAACATCTAGTTCAGGAAATCTGCTGTCCTTACCATATCTGGGTACCTCACCATGTGATCCAGACCCATAATATTGTGGTTAGCTCTTACTAGCAACCTGGAATGGCCGAGTTAGCCACTCAGCTATATGAAAGCCGGTAGTTCACTAACTGCTCGGGTAGTTAGGGAGGGTCAATAAATGCTGATTTTGTCAGTGGTGTGAACATCCCATGAAACAATACAAACAAAAAAGGCAAAATGAACTCCCAGTATCACTGATGGCACAAATTATGGCTGCAGGATTTCATGCAGTCAGGAATTCCATTCTTGCAACCATCCTTTTCTCCTGAGATGGGCTATCCATTTTGTGCAGCACTCTTCCAGGAATACCCCTGCTGTGGTTTCACAAGTTTAGATATTAGGAGTTGGCTACTATTTTTAAACCTGTCCTTGTACTCACCCTAGCCAGGATCTCATTGGTGTCTAATTTGAGATTTGCCTTGGTTTTTCCTGACCATCCTCCCCCACAAAGGCTTCCCTCACTGTTTGTGACTAATCGCCCTTTAGCAAGGAACTTTTACTAACCCAAAATAATTACTTCTGATGCATCATTTTGTTACAATGCTATTCCATTCCAAAACCCTTTAAATTGACAGGACTGTTTCTGGAACACATCTATAAATTCAACATCGCCAATTGGCACTGACTTACAAAAATGGTTCTACGTTATAGATAACAAGGTGTAGAGCTGGATGAATACAGCGGGCCAAGCAGCATCAGAGGAGCAGGAAAGCTGACATTTCGGGCCTAGACCCTTCTTCATCCAGCTCTACACCTTGTTATCTCAGATTCTCCAGCATCTGCAGTTCCTACTATCTCTGGTTCTATGTTATGATAGTGATGGCAATTCAAAAAGCACCTCATTGTAAAACACTTAAGAACATAGAATCATACAGCACAGAAACAGACCCTTAGGTCCAACCAGTCCATGCTGAACATAATCCCAAACAAAACTAGTCCTACCTGCCTACTCCTGGCCTGTATCCTTCCAAACCGTTCCTATTCACGTACTTATCTAAATGTCTTTTAAACGTTGTAACTGTGCCTGATTGTTAAAGGTACCATTTCTTCCTAACCTTTCTAATTAATCAACAGAGGAAAAATTGAACCAACTGGATACAGCACAGGTTGTCAGTTGTCTTAGTGGGTATCACACATCTCAAAGTCAGTTCAATTCCCACTTCAGAGACTGAAATACAAAAACTACAGTATCGTCACCAAGGCAGCGCCGTAATGAAGGTGCAAGGTGGTTGGAATATTTGAGTCTGAGGCATCAAAAGTATGGACTTCCAAGTTCCAGAGACTGTAGAAGGAAGAAACCAAATCGTGCATTAACTTACCAGGTACTTCTTCATGGAGAGTTGCAGAAACACTTTCATCGCAGCCATGGGGGGATCCAGCATTCAGGCGTGAAAAGTCTGCCACACTAGAGTCGACCATGTAGAGTGTATCTGGAACGCTAGAAATCCGACTCATTCGTACCTTTTCCAAGCTCGTCTGCTCCGACATGAGTTCTTCCAAAACAATCTAAACAGATGGAGTTTACACACTAAGCTCCAAGAATATTTTTGCTGTCTTAATATACAATCCCTTAGATAGGGAGGAGGGTCCTGAGGGTTGGCTCTGGTGTCTTCCATAAGGTTATGGAGCACGTGGCTGATTGTGATAACTACGTTAAAGACATTTTGCTTGTAGGAGCACTTCATGCTTCTAACATATTAAGGTATGAATGAAGGCACTGCAAGGGACAAGGACAAGGGCTTGAAGGCAAGCAGGGAGAAGCACTGAGAAAAGGCTTGATAAAAGAAGTGGGCTTTAAGGATGGATTTATAATGGAGAAATTGAAGATAGAGGGATTTAGGGATGGAATTTTAAACTGTGGGTTCTAGGTAGCTGAAGGCACAACCCCCTGCATTAGCTCTGGTGCTACAGCATTAACAAATAGCAAGCTAAAGATGGCACTCAAGGGAAACCACCAACACTTGGGCAGTAGGTGGGAAACAACTAGCAGACCATCTTGCATGGCTGTACTGAAGGACTACCACTGCTTAGACATCAAGACACATTGTATAAAAGTACTCTGACAATCCACAACGTATTACAAGGTAGCAATTCAGCACAGCATCTCAATACAGTAGGAATCCTGGACTGAAAATAACAGTAGAATCCAAATCAAGCCTGAATTATAGCTTTAAACTCACCACTTTTTACTCTTGGTTATATCACCGCTATGTCATTTATGAAGAGGGACAGAAAGGGAAGGATACTACAGCTAAACCCAATCCAACATAAATAGGAACAAGTATGGGCCCACAGTGCTTCGTGCCTGTTCAGGTATTCAATGGCTGATCCTCTAGCTTGACTCCACTGTCCCACCCGATCTCGTATCCCAAGATTCCCTTGAGGTCCCAAAATCTATTGATCTCAGCCCTGAAAGCTCAATCACTCAGTATCCATAACTCTCGTAGGTTCAGAATGCCAAAGTTTCATAAACCTTTAGGTGAAGAAATTTCGTCTTCAGTCCGAGACGGCTGGCCCTTGCAGCTAAAGGGATCGAGGGATATGGAAAGAAAGCGGGAGTGAGATATTGAAATTCCACGATCAGCCATGATTATACTGAACAGTGGTGCAGGCACGAAGGACTGAATAGCCTACTCCTGCGCCTATTTTCTGTTTCTACACCCTTGATTCTCAGACAACATCCCCTAGTTTAACATTCTCCAGTGAGGGGAAACAGCTTCTCAGCATTTCTAAAGTTCTGAGAGTACTGGACAGGGTATGTTTCATTAAGTTCACCTCTAATGTCCTAAGTCCCACTCCATTCAAACTGTCCACATAGAACATGCCTGTACTAGGCACTCCACTTTCAAGCATATACACAGGCAGTCTTCCAAGCAATAAAGGGACCGCTGTACAGGATTCATAAAGACTCAGATTAACTTTCCCTTACCATGCTCAGGGGTACTAAGGCAGTAACCCCTAATGCCGCACCATGTGGAGTCAGCCAAATTATACACAATCATACAACACAGGCAGTCATTTGACCTACAATGGCTCTTTTAAAGGGTTAACCAATGGATCCCACTGTCCTGTCCCCAACCGCCACAAAAGATATTGATATGCATTTTAAAAAAGAAAATCAAAATTAAATTGCCTTTCAAACGATGCTACTGAACCTGCTCCCACATCTCTTTCAGGCAGCACGTACTAGTTCACTTGAAAATAAAACTTCTGGCATCCCTCATTGGATTTTGATCCTTTGAAGATCGATCTGTGCCCTGCAGCAACTGCCCTCCAGCCAGTAGAAGCACCTTCTAATATAAAATCCCTCCTAATTGTAAATATTTCTATTAGGTCGCTTCATAACCACTGCTGCTCCGAGAAGAGCACCACCCTGGCAACTAATTACTAGGAAATAAAACTCCAATATTAAAAACAACATGAATAAGCCAGGGTTTGTTTTGCCTGGCACAATCAGCAGAGAATGCTCATTTTGGCAACTTGCCACAGCTTGAATTCCCTTTCTTTTTAAAAGACTGAAACCACCAGCATGACTGATCAGAATGAAAGCGTAGCAATCACAACAGCCAAAGATGCAAGCGGACCACTGGGAAACTAGGTTCAGCATCCAAGGAGCATTACAAATTGGTGCAGAGTTAAATTCTGACTAGCACAATGTACAAGCCCCTATTACCATTCTGTTAATTAGGTAGCATTTAATCAGAGCTGACAACCAGGTCAGTGAGGTGGAACAAGCCCTGGCTTTTATTTAATGTCACATGCTGGAGGCATCGAAAGAAAACGCAGCATAGCGGAAACTGTTTTCCCATTAATGTTCTGCTACAGTTACCACAATCGTGCCTGGGGCAAACAGCTGACTCCAGGGCACAGATTTGCAACTTCTGAAACAAAAATGTAGTGTGCGCCATCTGAAAATAAAACACAAATGGGAGAGTTACTTGCCTTGGCTTCCTCGATGTATGGGGTAAACAATCGGGGCTTGGCACCGATGCCCGAGGCCTTAAGGCAAAACCATGCCCTGGATTTCCTGCCCTCTGGGGGAGGGAGCATGTCCAGTGGGGGCGAGCTGATCAACGCTCTCTTCATCTGAAACACAAAAAGGATTTATTCTCCCCACGTTCTGTGACAAAAAGCAGCTGACAATGGAAACCATGCAATTTGCACAATTAAGCACACAGATTCAGCTGAGTTCAGGAATACCCCTCACTATTCTCCCCCGGACCATTATTGCATTCGAATGTTCATGCCACGGAAGAGCCACAGTAGCTTTGGCTGCAGAAATGACGGCTGATTTAATATCTGTTGGGCCTTTGTTGTCAATTTACAGAGCTGATGTTTGCAGCAGTGCAGCTCAATGAAAAGTAGCCAACCTCAGTAAATGATCAAGCACCTAAGCAAAGCCACAAGAGTTCTCCAAGGATTAGCTGGGACACAGTACACAGAACATAGAACATACAACAGTACAGGCCCTTCGGCCCACGATGTTGTGCCGAACTTTTACCCTAAACCCAAGGTCTATCTAACCTCCACCCCTACCTTATACCATCGTCCATATGCCTAGCTAATAGCCGCTTAAATGCCCCTAATGAGGCCGACTCCACTACCCTCTCTGGCAATGCATTCCACATCCTGACCACTCGCTGAGTAAAGAATCTACCTCTGACGTCTCCCCTATATCTACCTCCACTCACTTTAAAACTATGCCCCCTCGTAATAGCTACCTCCACCCTAGGAAAAAGTCTCTGGCTGTCTACTCTATCTATACCTCTGATCATTTTGTACACCTCTATCAAGTTCACCTCTCATCCTTCGTCGTTCTATAGAGAAAAGCCCTAGCTCTCTCAACCTTTCCTCGTAAGGCCTTCCCTCCATTCCAGGCAACATCCTGGTAAATCTCCTCTGCACCTTTTCCAACGCTTCCACATCTTTCCTGTAATGAGGTGACCAGAACTGGACACAATACTCCAGGTGTGGCCGGCCCCATTCCAAATGATTCTGTGAACAATGATGAATTTGTTAATATCCTCTCTTAATCCAACAGCACCGAAGCCACTGTAGCACCTCTACAATCGGAGTCCAGCTAATTCAAGCAATGTGGGGCCTTCCTACTATGAGTATTACACAAAGCTTCATCAGGGAGCTTGATCAAATAAGGAGAACACAAGGAGTCCGAGCGCAGAAACAGACCCATCGGTCTAACCAGTCCATGCCGACCACAATCCCAAACTAGTCCCACCCGCTTGTGCTTGGCCCATATCCTTCCAAACATTTCTTATTCACGTACTTATCCAAATGTCTTTTAAACACTAACGGTATCCAATGCTTCCTCTGGAAGGTCATGCCACATACAAACCACTTGTGCAAAAAAGTTGCCCCTTATGTCTTTCTCCTCTCACCTCAACAATATGCCCCCCACTCTCAAAATCCCCAACCCTAGGGAAAAGGCACCTGTCATTCACCTTCTCTATACTCCTCATGATTTTATAAACCTCTATAAAAGGTCACCCCTCCACCTCCTATGCTCCAGTGAAAAACGGCCCAGCCTATCCAGCCTCTCATTATAACTCATACCCTCCATTCCAGACAACATCCTGGTAAATCTTTTCTGAACCCCTTCCAGCTTCATAAAATCTTTCCTATAACTGGACAAGTAGAACTGGACACAGTACTCCAGAAGAGGCCTCACCAACATCCTGTACAACCTCAATATGATTTCCCAAATTGTATACTCAAAGGTCTGAGCAATGAAGGCAAGCATGCTAAACACCTTCTTCACTACCCTGTCTACATGTGATGCAAACTTCAAAGAATTATGTACACAAACCCCTAGGTCTCTGTTCTACAACACTTCAAGGCCTGAAGCTTGAGATGAAACAGTAAATCAATTACACTTTGGACTCTGCTGGTTTGTGCTTGTGCGCACCTGAGAGGGAATGCCACAAAGCGAGGCTGTGATGGGATAGAGATACCAATATGGCTGCCATCGTGTACAGTCAAACTCAAAGGTAAGTGCCTGTGCAATTTTAACTGGCTATAAACGTCAGGCTCCAGTTAGAGGTTTGGTTTACAATGAGGGCTGTTTTAAAATAAATTCTAAATGGATATAAGATAAGGCTGCTTTAGAAAATTGAACATGCTACACCATACAACACATTTTTTGTTGCTAATAGCAAGTCACTTTGCAGTTGCATAAACACCAAGTTCACCAACAGTTCAGTTGCTGTCTTTGTGGTAGGCAAACCCTTCGGTTTGGAGGTTACATCTGTTAAGATGACAAAGATACTTGTATTCAGGCAGTTTCTACTCCTGAACACTGTCAAAGGACTTTCCAAACTTCTGCTCTTGTTGCCTTTACATACTGCATATGATACAGAATTTGACAGGAAATGTACATCAGGTGAACATAACATGTAAATCTCATCTGACGTTCTTCATATTAAGTGAAAGGGAACATTCTTTAAGGCCAGAAGCATTATGCATTTACAGTGAATGTTTAACCTGAAATAAACACGTTACAAGTAAACATGGACTCACACAGTGGTCAATTAAGAAAGCACTGCTGTTAAGAAAATTCTGGACTACAGACATTCTGGATCTGTCAACGCGTTCTTTAAAAATTGCTTGCAAAGTTGTGATGGAAACTGCAATCCCCCAATTGTAATACGATCTCTGTAGGTGTCCTTGTAAATGAACCATAACATTTGCAGGCACATCCAGCAAGCAGTTAGGAAAAATGGTGGGAACATAAGAACAGGGGTAGACTATTCAGCACCTCGAGCCAGCTCCTCCATTCAAATGGGATCATGACTGATCTGCAGCCTAACTGCATACCTTTAGCCGATGTCCCTTAATACTTTTGCTTAACTACACTGGATCTATCTCAGATTTAAAACCTAACAGATGATCCAGCATCCACCGCTGTCCTTGGATAAAGTGTGTGCGCGCATGCGTGTGCAGAAGTGCTTCTTAATATCTCTTCTGATGAATCTGGCCCTAACTCTCAGATTATGCTCCCTAGTTCTAGCATCACAAATAATTGGTCAATCTTTATCTATCCTGTAAAAATCTTGAAAACTTTGACCAGATGACAACTTAACCTTCTAAATTTGAGAAAACTGATCTAATTTGTATAATCGCTCCTCATAACTTAACCTCTGCAGTCCAGGTATCATTAGATCAACCCTTATCCAATGAGACTGGAATGCAACAGTGAAGTTATCCTTCTAAGAATGTACTAAGTCTCCGTGACATCAGACCACGAGTACTATGCAGAGCTGTGGCCGTCTCATTCAAGGTAGGATATGCTCACATTAGAGGAGTGCAAACACAGGGGTGATCTCTGATACGATAGGATTGTCATACAAGGACAGGATAAGTAGACCAGGCCTACAGCGATAAGAATTAGGAAAAACAAGAGGTATTCCATAACACTGTAAAGAAATAAGCGGGAGTAGACTATTTGGCCCCTTCAGCTTGTTCCACCATCCAATAAAAATTACAGCTGACCTGATTCCAGCCGTAACTACCTGTTCCTCCACAGTCCTTGACTCTCGTGAGTCAAAAGCCTGTCTAATCTAGATATGAATGAATTCAATGACCCAGTGTCCACTGCTCTTTGGAGGAAGAGAATTCCAGACACTAATGGCCCTCGGGAGTATAAAAATTCTGCCTCTCGTCTGTCTTAAATGGGAGACCCATTAAACCACGCCCTCTGGTTTTAGATTCCTCCAATGAGGGGGAAACATCCTCTCAGCAACTAGCCTGTCAATCCCCAAGAAAACTGTGTTTCTTTAGGATCATCTCTCCCATTCTTCAAAACTTTAAGTACAGCTCCAACCTGCACAGCCTTTTTCAAAAGGCAACCGCCTCACCCCAGGAATCAGTGGAGTAAATCGTCTGAATTAATTCCAATGCAAGTACATCTCTTCTTGAGTAGTGATCAAAACTACATGCAGTACTTGAGATGTGGTCACACCAATGCCTGTACAGTTGCAGAAAGACTTACCTACAGTAGGTTCTGCTGTAATGCAATAGTTGCGTTCTTGCGCAACACCGTGTTATAGAAAACTGTGCTATTGAAATAACAGCCTTTGGGAAAAGGGGAGTTAGAGACAGACCACCAAAAAATATCACTCAAAAGCCTAACACACAGGATAACACTGAACAAATGTTTAATTCATATCTAATAATGAAATTAAAGTAAATTTAACACATTATTTTGAAAAAACGTCAAGATGACTTGTGGGGGAGGTGGTTTTGAGGTTGATAGCAGAGTGGCACAGCGGGGGCGTACTGGGCCCATAACCCAGAGGTCAATGGATCGAAACCATCCTCTGCTATTTGCTACGAGTGAGGTTTTGAGGTTGCTCTGTTGTTAATGCAGGGGCGCAGAATCATCATCATCATCATCATCATCTTCAGGTACAGTTGTGGTTGCAGGGTTAGGGTGAAAAATAGTTAATCCAGAAGTGGATGGCTGTGGTTCATTATCTTCTGACTGTTTCATGGGGGGTTGGCTTAAAAATAGACATCCAGTTTTTGCAGCTTTGCCCTTTTTCTCCTTTCATTAAGAAGCTGTTCATAGGGTGCCAAATAAGATCTTATTCCACAAACTGCTACCCTGCTGCTTTCTGCATTGTAATCGTTGCCCTCCAAGACCTGCAACTGCTTCTCAATTTCCCTCAGGATAGAAGACAAAACAAGTGGAAAGCTCTCATTGTGCTGCATCCTGGACTTCTTCATCTTCATCTTCAGCTTCCACTTACCCTCAGTGACAAATTGTTGTAGATCAGCTGCAGAGAGGTCTTCACAATGGGACTCAAGCAGCTCTTCAACATCCTCACTCTCCACTTCTTCAAATCCAACTTGCTTTGCAAGATCAACACAATGTTCTCAACACAAAGCCAGTGAAACAATCATGTGATATCAACACGTACTCCTCCGTGCACTGATGGAATTGCGTTATAGCCAACACGAGCTCGCATTTTAGAAATAGCGTCCTATTCGTCAGTCACATTATAGCCAACTTGCGTTGCTGGAACACGCATTATAGCAGAACCGACTGTACTTTTATACTCCAACCCCCT